CCACAGTACATATGTTTAGGATTGCAGCTTAGTTCGCCAGTTTTGCTTTTAAACTGCCTTGCTGGCACATTACATGCAGGGCTGCTTTGGAACATCCCCTGTGATTTCTGTGGAATATACGATCTTCCTTGAAAAACCATACTGCGAATTAGGGAAATGGACACGAAGCGACGGCACTGTACAACGTGTTAAGTCGGCATCCCCTGCTTGATCCCGTAACAGCAGCCCTGCGGGATCAAGCCAAGGCTCCGTCTGCTCCAGTGCTCTGTTCCCACGGGAGCCAGCCAGGAAGTGACGTGGCTTCTGCCCATGCTGCATGGACTCCCCTCTGTGGCTGGTTCTTCAGGCACAAGCTGGACGTGTCTCAAAGGCCGCACTGCAAAGCGCAGCTGCTCACACTCACCTGCTTCAGGAGATTCTGGGCAAACTCCAGGTTCTGCAGCCTCTGCCTGTTGACGGCATTCACCTCTGTGAACTTGGCAGCCAGGAGGGCTTCCTGGGGACAGAACACGGAAACACATTCAGAAGAAAAAGGGAACGAGCGCAGGGACCTGTTTGCAGCCTCCGTCAAAGGAAGAGAAGGAAGGAAGGAAACTACGGCCCGCGGGAAGGATCCGGCCCGCCATGGCCATCCATCCGGCCCACGCTGCCGTTCGCTGCCCGTGTGCGCGCTTGCTGCGCGGGCGGGCGGGGAGGTGGTGGCTTGCTCGCTCAGAGTCGGTTTTGGACTCACTGGGAGACCTCCGAGCGAGTGAGCGAGCCACTGTCGCGTGCGCCTGATGCTGCGCACACGCCCGAAGGCACCTCACCGGCCTGCACCCCCAGGCACCCCACCTCACCAGCCCATGACAGTCACCACAGCCTTTCAGCTGGCCCCCTTTTCAAAAAGTTTGAGGACCCCTGCATTAGTCGGTTATGGACCATTGTGTGGCTTCAGCCAGAACCATTTTGAAGAAGTAGCAAGTGGAGGACTTTCTGAAACACAATCATGTTTCGGAACGCTGCGGTTTCTCAAAGGCTTCTCTGCAACAAAAACATCTGTAACAGCTGATCAGGCTTCCCTAAGACTTCGCTCACCACGACCAGTTTCCTACAACGTCTAGGAGACATGGATTCAGAGCAATTACTGATCAGGCTCATTCTGTGCCATTGTCTCATTTGGCCGTGTTTATCTAGAATCCATTCTGACCTATTTCTGCATTGATCTGTAGCATTTTTTTCCAACTCTAAACCAACCTTGCGCATTTAAATGGAGAGCTGAGAGGCCATTGTGGTGGAGTGACAGTGTGCTCAGCTGGGACTCAGGAGGTCTCCGTTCCAGTCTGGACTTGGCCATGTATCTCATCAGGGGGCTCTTTTGCATCATCTAAACATGGGTGACTGATTGTTTGAGGGTTAAACAGTCCTCAGGTAGGCCTACAACAGCCCATAAGCCTTGGTGGGCTGAAGCGATTGTGCCAGCTGGCCCACTGATTCTCAGCCTAACCTGCAGGAAGGCTTTTTGTGAGGCTAAGACAGAGAGGAGCAGGGCCCCATGAAGCCCTCTGGGGTTCCTTGCAAGAGGAGAAAAGGCAGGATAGAAAGGCTCTAACCAGCAAAATAAACAGTTCTCAAAAGCTTGCCGTGTCTCAAAATACACAGCTCTAAATTTATTTTCTCTATATGCGTTTTGCTATTTTTTGAGCCAAGATCTATGTTGGCTGGTTGCTCAGGAAAGGCAAAAGCCAATGGATTATTTTAAGTGCTGAACTGAATATTGGGCCAATGTGTGTGGATTGTCAGCATGGACCAAAATTTACAAAGATGAAATTTCTAGTCCTTGCAGCAGCAAAGCTTCAGGCTCTGCTAGTCACCCTGCAGGAATAGAGTGTTTGCCCTTGATTATATTACAGCAAGCACAGGTAAGTCAAGCTAGAAAGGCGATCCCAAAAACTAGAACATGTAAGAACTGCTCAGGATACCTCAGCATCAGGTAAGGATAGGGCCAGTTGGTTTGAAATCCCCTGTAGTTCACTGGGTTGGGGAAATGGTGAGACTAAACATGAGAGAAACCTACAAATGCTTCTCTCAACTCCTCGGAGCCAAATTAGCTAAAAAATCTGGCAGCTGTGTAAGTGTCGTTCCCATATCACAACCAAAGAAGACTGGCAGAGGCGCTCTGCAAAGTGAGGCTAGGAGATGCCGCAGTCTTTCCAGCAGCCCCCGCTGGCACCGTGAATGGCCCCTCTGCATGGCCACAGAAGTACCTCTTCTTTCACTTTTGCTGCTGGAGACTGGAGTCGAGGCCGCTTGCTCAGGAAGCCATTGCGACCGCTTTCCAGGTCTAGGATGGATCTCAGCTTCTCTGCTTCGAGTTCATAGTCCTGCAGAGAGGAGGGAAGATCAAGCTGTTTCCAGAGAACTGGCCACAGTTACACAGAAGGCAGACCTGCAGTGGGACTTTGTTCTCCCTCCAAGCTCCCCTGTTGCCTAAACAGGCTGTCTGGGTCTGCCCCTCCTCACCATCCTCACCTTCACTGCCTGCTGGTACTGTTGAGCCTCAGCAGACACTTTCTGGACCTCCTGATCCTTGCTTGCAATTTCTTCCAGAAGGGACTGAAAAAAACCAAGCAGATGGATATCAACAAACAAGCCAAGAGCAATGCTTTGTTTTAGAACAGGGATTCAGATCCATTTTCCTATGAAAGGCCATTGGCCCACAGAAAAGCTGAAGGCCAGAGACAATCAACTCTTGGTGCACAGAACTAGTTTGCTGCACATGTTTTCCTACCCTACGGTGGCTAGATGCATTCAATGCAGGTTCTTCACCTAGTTTTCGAATAATACTGCTAGCTTTGCCGTGCTAAACCTTTGCTGTGTTAAACCTTTTCAGAGAGACATTGCAGGGTGGCCTACATCACCCATCATCCTTTGCCATTGGCAGGCCAGATGGCATTTGTTACCAAAATCCTTGGAAGGACGCAAGTTGCCATCTCTTGTTTTCAAATCTGCTTGGCCACCTGTTGGGGGTTCCTTGAGAGAATTTTCTTGCGCCAGTAAGGGCTGCACTGCATTGCCTTTGAGGCCCCTTCCATCTCTGTGATTCAGTCCAAGGTTACCCTTTGGTTCTTCAGCTTGGTTTCCACTTGGCCAATGTTGTCAGTCTCCTGTGGCTCATAGTTAGGCACGTTGCAAAGGAACTGGCTCAGGTTGTCACAGCCACTGCGGTAGCTGGAATAGGCCAGCTTTGCTTTGTCAAGCACCTGAGACCTGCAGAGAGATGGAACAAGATTGCCTTGTGATGGAGCTCACCACCAATTTTACAAAAACCCATCCCATTCACAAATCTAGAGGCTCTGGCAGTTCCTCCGTATGATTATGCAATTTATGACACATTTCTGTGGACTCGGTTCTAATCGCTTCCTTCAGTGGAGTTCTTGTCACCAAGTGTCCATCGATGCTTTTGGTGTGTTGGCTTCTCGGGCCTTTAGGAGGTTTTAGATGGGGAAGCCCAACAGCTACATGCAAACCAAAAGTGAACCAACTCAATGTTGCAGGACCTAACAGAAACCCTCAGCAATGAAAGCTGCAGCCAGGAGGTCCCAAATAATAACGAACTACAGACCTCAGAGCCCATGCTCAGGGTCGGACTTCGTGTTCAACAACGGAACCAAGCTCAGCAGCCTTTGTGCAGAAATCCACTCCTGGTCTGCCCCCACTCCTGGCATTCCTTTTCCGCAACCTAATTTGGGGAGGCACTGCTTTTTAACTGTGGCTGCCTTAGACCACAGAACACCTGCGCTGGAAACCTGGGGACACTGGGCATCCACGCTGACTTCAGCAAGGCAGCCCCTTCTCCTGCAGAGGCCCCACATGGGTTTCTGTGTTTTGGTCACAGTGGGCTGCAGTGGGAAGTCTGAATCTAGTTTTTATACGGCTCATCCTATATTCAAATAGTAAAGCCTTTAAGACATGGGTTTTCAAACTAGGGCCTGCAGGCTGGATCCGGCCCGCCTCAGAGGTTTTGGACTCCCCGTGCCCACGCCTGCTGCCGCCCGCCACTCAGAAGTTGTTGTGGACTCGCTCGGAGAAAATGATTTCCAAGCGATCTCCAAGTGGGCGTCGCCGCCCACGCAGCGAGGTGGCGGCTTGCTCGTTTGGAGATCGTTTTGGACTCACTCAGACATCTCCAAATGAGCAGGCCACCACCTCGCCACACACACTCGCCGCTGCCCTGTTGTGCGCCCGCGGGCACCCCTGCCTCACTGGCCCACTCCCACCGCCGCCTTTCAACTGGCCCCCTGTTGAAAAACTTTGAGGACCCCGGCTTTAAGAGCATGGAAACAGCTAGCTGAAAGCATACCCAAGCATAAGAGAGGCATGGGCATCCTTGGAGAAATAAGTAAATTTAAATTATACATAAATTATTATTTAAATAAGTAAATAAGAGAATCCTCCACCGCCAGTGATCAGTACTGTATGACCACTGAGCGTGTCCAGTCCTCACTGAGCTGTTTTGGTTCCTCAGGCTTAAGCTTCTCCTCTTGCAATGAATGAATAAATGGATGGTTGGTTGGTTGCTGGGGATGCGGGGAGAAGTGGGAAGGAGCCAAACCGCCCAATGAGGACTGCAGTGTTCAGTGGCCAGAGAAGGCTGAGGGTTGGGAGGCAGAATGGAACGGAGGGAGGGCCTTGGAGAAGGTCATGGTGGCTGGGACCCTGAGCAGGAGCCCTTCAGAGCCTCTCGTGGCAGGCAGGGCTTGCTTGTAAGCATTAACTGTCACCCACTTGGAGGGCTTCCATAGACAGACTGAAAGAGCAAGTAAATCAACAGATGGCGGCTGGCTATTTCATGCCACTGTTCACCATCGCCTGCTCCAGGTGGGGATGGGGAAAGAAGAACTGGGACAACCCCTCCCCTGCCGCTAATGCCACCGCTTTGCATCAACCCATTTCCTTTCCCACCAGCCAACGCCATCACAGCCAGACCTGTGCTCGATCTGCTTCTTGAGGTTGCCGAAGCGCTGGTTGAGCTTGTGGAGCTCGGCTTCCTGGCGCTCAGTGTCCGGGCAGTGCTCTTGGAACTGGCTGGCAAGGATGCTGGAACACTTCTTGGCCTTCTGCAGGTCCTGTTCGGCCTCACTCAGCAAGGGCTGCTGGGCCTGCAGCTCTGAACCCAAGGCCTGGCCAGGGAAGGAGAATGCTTCTTAACAAAACGTCTCTCAAATGATTTTATTGTAAATATAATTTCTGCCCTCTTTCTAGGACAAGCAGAACAGATTAAAAGTCAGGCCAACCAATAAACCCACCAACCAAACAGTAGAATGCCAGGATAAAAGCTGTGTCAGAAGATAAAAGGAAAAGCAATCCTAAGAGTCCGTTTAAAAAGCAGGCAAAAAATGATGAAATTCCCTTAGTAAACTATTTCATAATTTAGGTGCCTGGAAAAGGCCCTCTCTCTTGTCCTGACCATACTTCTGTCAGAGATGTAACTGGTCCCCATATTAAACTAATGCATGATTTATTTAACTCCTGCTCTGTTGCCCTGTCCAGGGTTGCTCTGGCAGGCAACAAACATATGTTGTTTTCTAAATTCCTGGAATATTTGTTTCCTTCCCCCTCTGCCTCCCCCCCACACCTCTAAATGCCAGTGAGATAATCTGTGCTTCTGGGTTCAAATGTAGCAACAACCCATGGTTTAAACAACCTAGAGCTTACAAGAAACAACAAACCATAAATTCTCTTTCTGGGTAGTTTGTGGTTAAGAATGATTTGCTAGTGCAGCTGAGTTCACACAACATTACAACCCAGAATTCAATAGCCCATGTGTTTGTGGGTTGGCATTATTTGTAAACCCTCCCAATAAGAATATGTTCGGAAGCTGAACATAGCTCCCGGACAGATTTCTATGTGAGACATGCTTGCATAATTGCAGGGACATTTAGAATACAGCTGGGCATATGTGCAAACAACTGATCATGCTCGACAGTACCCTTCTCCAGCCTGGTGGCCTTCAGAGGCATTTGGATCGCAACTCCCAGACTTCCCATCCAGCAGGGCCATTGACTGGGAATTCTGGGAGCTGCGGTCCAAATGTGCCTGGAAGGCTGCTCTGCAGCAAAAGTCACATTACAAGGATGCTTAGGGAATTCAGCATTCTTGTTAAGCTTCCCTCTCCCTGCATCATTGCCCAGAACTGCCTAGGAATGGAGCGTCGCAGCCATGCATTCACACAGAAGTCCAGGGGTACGTGGCGGGGCACCACTGCCTCCTCCTGATGCACCCGGCCCGCACGGCAGTTCGCCACTTCCGTGCAGAGGAGGACATCTGGAACAGCCGCGAGGGTGATTTGGGAGGCCAGATGTGCCTGCGGCCTGAAATGAAGTGCACTCCATCGTTCGGCTTCGTTTTCTTTTCTTTCTTTTCTCATCTTCCTGTTTTGTTTCGTTTTTTACAAGTTTCAAAACCTCCAACATTAGGGGCAATGCTCTGGCTATTCCACTGTTTACTTGGGAAGGAAAACAGCACGCTTTTATGCTAACAGTGAAAAGAAAACACCGAAGAGCCAGCGAAGTGAACGGAGTGAACCGGGGAGATTCGTGTTTGAGCTCATCCATGCAGTTCCCTGGGCGACTTTGGGCCAGCCAGTGGCTCTCAGCCTAGCCTAGCCTACCTCACAGGATTATTGTGAGAATAAAAATGGATCGGAGGAGGATGATCATGTAAGCAGTGCTGGGCTCCTTGGAGGAAAGGCGGGCTACGAGGTGACCCATGGATCGCAGTGGGAGCTGCAGCAATGCAGGGATTAGGAGGCTAAGCACAGACCAGGAAGCGCTCGGACCAGACCAGGCCCTTCAGGCTCACTTAGAGATGCACCGAACGGTGTTTGGGGAGCCAGCATCGCTCAGCTGGACCCTCGCTTGCAATGTGCAGGGCCTTTCTCAGGAGAACGGAGACGCTGCATGTGAAATGCTTCAGATAATCTGGATCAATGCTTAAGGGGTGGCGTGTGCTTCCACAGCAAAAAGAAAATATCCAGGCTGATGCGCCCTTCTCCCGACATGCTGTTTTTCTAGATGCAGGAACAATTTATTTTCTTTATTATATTTTTATCCTGCCTTTTTTCCGTCTGAGGAACTCTGGGTGGCTTACCCCATTTTCCTCCACTTCTGCACTTATCCTCACAAGAACCCTGGAGGAAGGTTGGGCTGAGAGTCTGTGACTGGTGTGAAGTCCCCCAGTGGGCTCCATGGCTGAGCCGGGACTGGAACCCATACCAGCCGAGTCCCAGTCCCGTGCTCTTCACCACGGCTCCACAGCGGCCCTTGGGGGAAGCAGTCAGCCTGCAGCCAGGAATAAATTGGGCTTGTGGGCTCTGACTCCTTAGGTGGCTTCCCCTGCCACTGCCGGGAGGGGTTCCTGTGCACTGGGAGTCTATGGGAATGTGCCACGTTGCCCCTACATAGCAGGGAGTTTAGCCCCCCTGCGCCGCTTCCAAAGGCCCTTCCCCCGGGAAGCGAGCACTCACCAGCAGCTCCTCTCTCTTGCGCTCCAAGGCAGAGATGTCCTCTGGAATCGTGTCTTCGATGGCCAGTTTGTTCTCATACCCGGAAAGCAGGTCTCTCCCTTGCTGCAGTCTCCTCTCAAGGTGATTGGCAACATCCACTCTGGAAAGGCAGGCAGAGACACCGGCTGAAATGTGTGCGTGTGCATGCACAGACTTGCCGTTGATACTTCAATCAGAAGTGGCAGCAAGGGTCTTGCAAGCCTGTGTGTTACGACGCACAATACAGCGTGCAGTGTTAGGTGAAGAATACAGCTTCCTAAAAATGTCACCTTTTGTTTTAATGAGGACACAGGCTTCTAGACCTCATGGTTGCAAAGCAGCATTTGGCTTTGCACCTGGACATTGACTGCTGGAGCATGAGCATTCAGAGAGAATGGCTGGACAAGCTTTCCAAGTGGGTTCTGTGGGGCACTAACTGATTCTCCTCTGGATTAAGACTAGCAAAACCAGAATGTATTATGCAAAAGGAGAAATAAGCAAGCATATTTTATGTATAGGTTGCAGAATTTATCTTTTCTTGTTGCAGAACTTTAAAAGTATCTGAAGTGTTTTGGGTGCATGCATGATAGAGCAACTGCAGCAGCAGCCCCTCCAGCCCTGCAAAGGGGGCTTTCTCCAGCCTGGTCTGGGTGTGCCCGGGACCATTTGCTGCCAAAGCCGGGGCTCCACTGCTGAGCCAAAAATGGCGCTCCCATAAAGAAGGGCGTTCAAAGAACCCTGAGCAGGGGAGCCGCCCCATCATGCAGACCCCAGTCAGAAGACCGCAGACCCCACCCGCTCTGTGAAGGTCCCTTTGCCAGTCAGAGAAGCCCCCAGGGCACCTACTTGTCCTGAGCCGCACCCAGCAGCTGCACGATGCGGTTGTACTTGTTGTTGGTTTCCTCTGCCTTGTTCTTCACCAAAGCGGTGCTGCCGGCATCAGGCACCGATTCCAGGAAGGCCTCGCACTCCTGGATCTTGCGCGCCTTCTCGGGCTCGATGCGCCGAACCTCATTGGCGATGTTCTGCGAAGGGACACGCGGCTGATGAGCGGCGTGAGTGGCGGCATCTCTCCACTGCCGGCGGTCTCGTTGGCAGGGCCGCAGCCCTCGTGGCTGGCATGGCCGCTGCCCCACTTTAGGGGATCCGAGTGAGCTGGCAGGATCCGTGGGCCCCTCTGACCTGCTCCATCCCACTCAACCAATCTTCGGCTGCTGCTGAGCTGGCCCAGGTAGAAATGCTTGCAGCCCTGCCAACCTTGGCGGAGCAGGCCTCCCTGCATGGCCTGCCCGCTTGCCTCGTGAGCTGTCAGCCCCCGCCCCGAAGTTCGGGCCTCCTCCTCTGCTGCTTTGCAGGATCCCTCCTCGGTCCCGCTCCTGAGCTAGGCGAACTCAAGCTGCAGGGGAGTTTGAAACATGCACTGACTGACGAGAGAGATCAGTCCTCCATTGTGTGGAGGAGGAAAGAGAGAGCAGACCTGGCACGCTCTCTATTTCTATGTTTCTATACTGGGGAAAGTCTCCTGGGAGAGGGTACTGGAAGGCATGGGAGTTGAGGAGGTGTGGATGGCACTAAAAGGGGAGGTTTTGGAGGTGCAAGCCTTGACGATAATGCTTTCGGACATGCCCATGGTGGGCATCTCATGAGCGGAGCTGACTGGAGCCGGGGGTCAGACTAGATGGCCTGGGAGACCCCTTCTGACTCGCTCTGTTTCTACATTTCTTTTCTCAGGCACGGGCTAGGCTCCATCCCCAGGCTTTCCACAGCAGCCCCTAGACCTGAGGTGGGCAGCTTGTGGCCTCCTCGGTGTCTGGACTCACAGCTCCTGGGATCCACATGCTTGGCTACACCAAAGCATCTCCAGGTCCCAAACTGCTCACCCACCCTGGACCCAGCTCTCCGGTCCTGAGGGGACTGCTCTCCACTGCTGCCTGGCGGGCCTTGCTCAAATCTGCAGTGGCATGAAGGGGCCCACCTAAACAGAAGCTGCACTCTGTGCTCCTGGTTCCCGGCTCCAGGGAACCACTGGATACATGGGTGGAGCCCTGGGTTGGGCGCGGGTGCCGAGGAACATCCAGCCCTGGGTGCAAGGCAGCCAACTGCGAGTGCGGCATGCCGTGCTTGAGGCCCGATCCACGACCCACAGCACGGCAAAGCGGCAGAATCCCGAGGCAGCAAAACGGTCTGAGGGTGCGGCATTTCTGAATGCTTCTTATCCCTTCCAAAAGCCTCCCAGCAAAGACCAAGCCCGTTTCCCCCTCCTATGCTATTTCCCCAATCTTGGGGCAGAGGCGTTTGCCTTGGGAAACGTCAGAAAGTAGCATTCTGGTCCATTCCTGTCCTCGAAAAGGGTACCGCCCGTTTTCCCCGCTTGCTTCATACTGCTGCATGTGGAAGCTCAGCCTCGGGGGTCTGCCCGCTCCCGGAGGCTGCCCTTACCTTAAGGTCCTTGGCCCGCTCTGCGCTGTCCTGGACGGCTCGGCTTTGCTCCAGCGGAGGGCGCAGGTTGACGGTGATGGCCTTCTCCTGCTTCTCCAGCTCACTGTTCACCCTCTCCAGGCCGGCGAGCAGCTGCCGCCCCTGGACGGACGTTGCATCTGCGAGAGGAAAAGAGCTGTTTGGTTTTGCTGAGAGGCCCAGCTGGGAGCTGCTGGCACGGCCCCCATCACAGAGCGGCCGCTCGCTCGCAGGGGGCGAGGCCGGAGGTGCGGGCCAGCCACACTCCTCCTCTGCCTCCAGAGCGGGGCGGAAAACAGGTTCAGCACAGGGGCTGTCCCCTAGTGAGCCCTCTCCCAGCGTATTCCAGGGGAGACGGGCAGGACCGGTGAACAAAATAGCATCCTTGGAAGGATGCCTACAAACCCAATCCCTTTCGCCCATTTCTAGGTGAGAATCCATGGCATAGTTGCATTTATTTATTTTTTATTGAACTGGTTCTGACACAGTATTTCCTCCATCAGAAGAATACAGGTGCCCCAACAGGGGCATGTGAGAAATTAATTTCAGTACATTTCTGATCTGGATTTACCCAGTTCACACCTCCCATTTTGAACCCAGACTTGGGCATAAAGGTCTGCGGAGGGTCAGAGCACCCCACTTAGTTTGGGGGGAGGCTGGGGGGGTCACTGTCCCTCCCCCGCTGCCTCTCAAGAGACTTGCTTTTGCTGCTTCGTGGCTGGCAGTGCCACTGTGTCCGTCTGGAATTCAACGGGCGAAGGACGGGGCGCTTTCTCGACACTCCCCGGCAGTTGCTGGGGTCGCCCTACCTGGAGGCTGGCCAGGCATGCCCTCGTGCCCCCCAGGACGCGTTCTCTCAGGGCCAGCCCCGCTCCTCAGCTGCAGGGGGTCGGCTTGCCTCTCTGCTCCAAAAACTGCCCCCCCCCCCCCCCCCACGTTCGCACCAGGCGTTTAGGACGCTCTTATTCCACTCCAGCAGTCGCGCTCCCCCAGGGACTCTTGGGGTCCGTCAAGGGCTCCGGGCGTCCCAGCCGACACCTGCTCCTCACTAGAGGGCTGCAGTTGGCAGAGCTCCTGGGGAAGAGGGACCGACCGGCAACGCGCGTGGGGACTGCAGCTCCACGAGGTGGGCAGCGCCTTCCAGCAGTGCTGAGCCCGGAATCCCGAAGTGGAATAAAAGTACCGTAACGGTACCGACAAACTGATTTTAAAAAAGATCTTGGATGTACCGAAATGGACAGACTGACTTTGTCTCTGAAGGAGAAAGAGGATACAGACTTCTATCAAACTTGGAATTCCTTTTATTACTGGCTAGAGGAACAGGACTATGCAGAGACTTAAATAAGTTTATGGATTATCATAAAAAGAAAAAGTATGGGGGGCTGACCCAGTAGGTCTGATGCTTTTGATGATTGATGATTTTTAGTTTCTTTTGGTTAGTTAGTAGAAAAATAACAATAAAACTTATTTAGGAAAAAAAAGTATCGTAATGGGAGCATTTTCACTGGAATCAATGGGAAAATTAGCCATGACTTCAGGTAGCCTTGAGTACTTTAGTTGGGCTCCTTTACACATGATTCTGCCTGGATCCAGTGAGAGTGCAAGAAAAGGCTATTGGATATTTTGGGAAACTGGAACCCCTAAGCTCTGGACTCCAGACCCATGGAGGATCTCCCCCACACACGGATGCACACGCAAAGCCAGTGGCTGCAGAGGCCACCGAAAATTAAGAGGCAAAGCCGCGCTTGCCAGTCCAGTCCAGTCCAGTGTGCACCTGTTGCCATCAGGGTGGGCACTTGGTCCAGAGGTTCCTTTGTTTCCTCTTCCCTCCCTGCCCCTCTCCCCTCGTATGTCGTGTTTTTAGACAGCAAGCCTGGGGGCAGGAACTGCCTTATTTGTTCCACGTAAGCCGCTCTGGGAGCTTTTTGGCTGGACAGAGGGTATGAACGCAATATGAAAAGCATTCATCCATAATAAAGAGCTGTTGGAAGAGCTGTTATTTCTCTCTCAACGAGAGATACCCTCATCCTGCACTCATCACTCAGCAGAAATTCAAACAAAGCGGCCAAGCTCATTTTACTGTACGTACAATCATAGGTCACAAGATCTCGGAAGCAGGTGTGGCTTGGATGGCGCATGGCATGGAGCTGCAGCTCTGGCTATCACGAAGGCACCCCCACCTCTAAATTGCCACTGCACCACTGCTTGGACACAGTCTGTGCTTGAAGTCCATGCGTGGCTGACCTCGCAATGTGATTTGCAGGTCCTCAGAAATGCATTCAGCAGCAGGCATATATTTTGTATGAAAACTGCATGCCCGTGTGTTTTTATCAATGGGGAAAGGGTGCATAGACTTCAAAGAAGTCCACCACTGATATGTAAATCCGGGGAAAGCACATAAAACATACATTTTATGCAAAAAACAAAGAAGCCTGCTATCAGGTACTGACATGGGATGACACGAGCTTCAAGATCGAATGTTTGCGCCCATATTGCTGGGGTGCAGATCCTGAAGGGCAGAACCAACCGGAGAAGGGGAGCCGGGTGCTCAGTGCTGCGGGGCACTCACCTCCCGTGCTGTCTGCCTTCAGTCCAGCAAAGCGCTGCTGCAGGAGGTTCTTTGTGCCGGCTGTCTTCTGCTTCACGCTCTGATACTGAGCAGCAATGCTAAGGCAACAAGGAAGGAGACGATCAAGCCAGCTGGAGAAGTGAAGGGGACAGAGTCTTGCTCTGGTTAAAAGGAAGCTGTGTAAACAGTAAAAGGAGGAGGGACCTTGTCTGAACCATGGGAACAAGACCTCGGTCAGGGAGCCCTTACTTGTCAGCCTGGGTTAAGGAGTCTGGATCTGTAGGGGGAATCATGAAGCAGACGCCCGGGGCACTGATGACGCTCCCTACACCATCGGTGACCTCCCAGACATCTCCACTGTTCTTGTGCACTGTGTACCTGGCTCCACGGTATATCTGGCACTAGGGAAGAAAGAATTCCCTGTAAGTACCCATCTTGTTGGGATCCCCCCACATGCATCTACAATTGGAGGGGGCATCCGAATCCCCAAAGACTAAAAATATACTTCCATTAGTAGAATATTAAAAGTATATAAAATAACAATGTTAAAAATGCTAAATGTAAAGAATAGAACAATTCCCAGATGCCTCCTGGTTCAGAAAGTGTTTTGCCTGCCTCTGAAAGCCCGACAGGTAAGGTACCAATCTTGCTTCTCTGGGGAGGGAGTTTCAGAGTCCTGGGGCAGCCACCGAGAAGGCCCTCCCCACATTTCCACCAGGTGGGCCTGGGAAGGAGGTGGGACGAGAGAACAGCCTCCCCGGGAGATCTTCATACCCCCCCCCGTTCCTTTATCAGCAGCCCCCAAGCCACGCCAGCATCCCGTTTCCTCTTCCTCGGGTTGAGTGCAAGGGCAGCTTCGTCAGGAGAGCATCCCTGCCCATTTTGCAGGGTTGCTGCTCCTCCCAGCTGTGCCCAGCTGCCCACGCCACAAGCCAGAGGACAAATGCCAGTTCGTCTGCCGCTCTCCACCCATCTGCCAGCTCCAAGCCAGGATGCAGTGCTTTCGCCCAGACCGGGCAATACCGCGCTGTTCCAGCCTGCAGCCAGCGGAGGCCACAGCCGGGCCCTGACCTGCTCGTTTTCATAGTCACAGAGAGCCTCCACTGGGATGGGCTTGAGCGGGGTCTCCCGGCGGTACTTCAGCGGGAGCACCTGCTGGCTGCGCTTCTGCAGGGACTTTACCACATCGTCGTACTTGTCCAAGGCCTTCTCCTGGTCCTGGCCAGAAAGAAAACAAAGGTGTTCGTGAGCCAGGGAGGGCAAGATCATGGCAGAGGCTCCGAAATGGCTCCCTCTTCAGTGCCATACAGCCCGTGCAGCATATGGGCTGGAGGGTGGGACTGGGATCGGGGTTCTAGTCCCTGCTTGGCCATAAAGTTCATGGGGTGATTTGGAGCCAGCCCCTGGCAGTCTAGCCTACCTCATAGGATTCGTGTGAGGATAAAATTGAGACAGGAGAACCTTGGCTATGCAGCCTTGGGTTCCTCATCAGAGGAAACAAAAGACAAGATATAAATGCAAGAAATCCATGCATGAAATAAAATATAAATAAAGCCAGAATGGGCAGATCTCAGGCTTGCAGGACTGACTTTGTTTATTACTAAAACCGCAAGAACCATCAAGCAGAGCATGGTGCAAAAGGCACACGCCTCAAAGGCCGCTGAGGCCAGGGGCTCGAGCAGGGCACCAGGAGAGAAACAAGCACACATGGTGGGTGGGAGGCCTGAGCACCTGCACCACACGGTCCCCTTTCCACCTTTCCTCCTTGATTTTTACTGGGGAAAAGGATGGGGGCAGCAGTGGGAAAACAGGGGCAGCTGTGAACTGAGGACAACATCTCCACCCCATCCTCCAAAATTTCTGAGGATGAATGCACAGGAAAATTGGAAGCACCCACGTTTCTGTCACATGAAATCCTGTTGCTGGTTATCCCAGCTGTTCTTGCTTTGCTTTGCTTAATACTGAGAAGGGTAATGTTGTCACTGCTACTGCTAATAACTATGGGTCTGAGGGTCCTTGCCAAGCTACTGCAGATCTCCCTGAGAATTACCCGTAGATCTAAAGCTACCTCTTCTGCTATAGAACTCAACTGGGAACAAAATAATTGGTCCCGGAAAACATACTGTATGTATCTTTTTCCCTGGGTCACTTTTATGCCTGAACCGCTGGCGGGCAAAGCAGTGGCGGGGTGTGTGTATGAGGAGGCCACCTGGGCTGAGTGCCGGCTGCACCTAGATGGCAGGACCTTTAAATCAGAGCCACTCGGTTCTTCCCTTCTATGAGGCCCATTCCCATGACTCGTGGGGGTGGCCACTGCTGCCCCACTGTGGCCCTCATGCTGGCAAACAGATTGTGCAGGGGGCCCCAGAGTCACTCTGTGTCCACCAGATCCAAGCCCTGCTGCGGCAGCGAGGGGCACATCTGGCTCCCGGGTGGAGAGAGTCCGGAGACGCTTATACAGCCAGCCTTATTTCCGTTTTTCCACGGTAAGGAAAGCAGAGGGAAGAACTAACCGACCAGCATGGGAGGCTTGCCAGACCAGAGGCAGATGGCGTCATCCGGGCAGCCTCCACATACATTTCTGTGAATGAGGCTGGGTGCAAAAAAGCCCTCACCTGGGAGCACCTGCAGGGGCAGCAGCAGACATGGGGCCTGTTTCTCCCAAAGCACCACATGCCCAGTCAGGAAGCTCAGCCTTGGCACGTGCCCTCGATGGAGAACAAGAGGGCTTGCCGTGTGGTGCAGAAGTGCCGGGGCCTCTGCTGCAGCTGCCCACAGAGCAGCCAGGCACGGACTTGGCCGGGAGCATGGAGCGCTTGCTGTCTTGGGTGTGCCTCCTCCAGTTCGGCGCTGGCTGGATAGGCCGGGAGGTGCAGTCCAGCACACCAGGACGGGACCAGAGGGCAGGACCGTCGTGTGTCAACAGCCTCCTGTCCCCAGTCCCCCTTTGACCCTCTAAAAGGGGAAGCTCGGGCCGCGTGTGGCCAAAGATTTGCCAGCTCCTGAGCGGATGCATGTGCGATGGGCAGGGGCCTGCAGGACAGCCTTCCTCCCCCGGATCCCTCAGCTGCCTCACTCAGCACTGCCACTGCCACCCAAAATACATGCCTCTAACTCCTGCAGCAATGATTCAATTTGGTACCAGTCCTTGAAATCTGGACTATACTTCTGGTCCAGGTCGGTGTCCACTTTTCTAAGGAGATCTTGCGCATCCTTCGCATCTTTTTGGAACTGTGCAAAAAAGGAAAATTCCAGAGATTCTCTTTAGGACCACGCGACACACATTTCCATCGTGACAATCACAAAGGCTGTTGCGCTTCCCGTCAGAATAACTCGCTGCTGAGAGCGGAGATCCTAAGGGCAGAGCCAGGACAGTGCTGGATGGCTGACAAACAAAGGAGCAGAAACGGACAGGTGCAAAGCGGGGTGACCGGGCCCCCGCTCTGCAGGGGAAGTTCGTACCCTTTCTTCAGGCAGGAAGCTTAAGCTTGAGCACGTACGCTTCCGTCCAGTTTATTGCTTCAAGTTTTCTTCCTTCATGGTCCAGTCACTGTTTTGAAGAGTCGTGCAGTAGATGGAAATCAACCAGGCAGCACTTTCGTGCAACCGTTAAAAGGCTGGCGGTTCTTCCCATCATGCGATCCAAGGGCGACCCCTCACCCCAAACAGCAGATCTGTTTCACCTACAACTCCTATCATCCCCAGTCCAGAAGGGGCTGCTGGCTGGAGAGGACAGCAGTGGCAGATCCAGTGCATCCGCAGTGCTGTGGAAGCTGCTTGAAGGCGAGAGCGGGAACGCCCACCTGCGTACTGCGCACGGGCACGATTGCAAAGCGAGTCCCAAAACGGGAGGTGACACGTCACAGGCTCCTCCCCTGCGCCGTAAGAGCGAGGGGGAAGGCGGCAGCGGTCGGGCTTTGCAAAGCAAGAGGCGCTCCGAGCGAGGTGCACACACCGCGTGCTTCACCGGGGAGACGGGGCCAGGCGGCCCCTGCCTGGGAGGGCCAGCCTCGCGAAGCGGACTCCAGCTTTGCCAGCAGTGCAGAGCAGCAGCGAGGCCGAGGGAACAGCCGCGGGGGGAGGCGAAGAAGACAGGCCCAGCAAGACGGCTTCCCCACCAGCTGTTCCGGCAGGTCTCCGCACAAGGGCTGCTGCAACACCTGAGCCGGGCCCTGCGTGCTTGTGATCGAGCCCCGCTCAGGACACTGCCTGCCAGAAGGGGGCTGCTGGGCTCCCCGGGTGGCCACCTCCCTGCCAGCCTGCTCTGCACCACCTGCCCCTTCCGAGGCTTCCCGGAGCGCTGCTGCGGCCAGGGAAAACGGGCTGCACCCCAAGGGGAGACCTGCGCACACGCGCATGAGGCCGTGGGATTCCTGCCGTGCAGCACAGCTCATCTTCCTGGGGTCATGAAGGATTCCTGCCTGAAGCTGTGGAGGATCAGTGCCAGGCCCTGTGGGTAGTCCAAAGCCTGATGGGCTAGTGCCCATCAAGGTGCCCTCCTGTGCTTGGGGCCCATGACAAAGTCCAACAAAGGAGGGGAGGAACTGGCACTGGAGGGAGCAGGAGAAGGACCGACAGACGAGTCCCATGGATGGCTATCCGTCTAGCCCACTGGCAGCAGCTCTCCACCAAAGGGCGTTTCCATCCCCCGAGACCGGATCCTTTGGGAGATGCCAGGGGCTAACCCCACACGGCATTCTGTGTGCGAAGCATGCCATCCGCCACGAGTGTTGCGAGCGGATTCAAAAGCCCCAGACTGTTCTCCTTGCAAAGCGTCCCTTCTGACCAGAAAGTGGTTGTGGATAAATGAGGAGGAGGCAGCATCGTGCTGCCACTTTGCCTTTGAAGCAGAGGAAACTGCCTCCCGCCCGCAAAGCCCCTCCGTTCGCACAGGGGCGCAAGTGGCCATTCGCTGACACCAGGCGTTTTAAACAGTGGCAAAAATGGTTGCGGAGCACGGAGAGGCCCTGGGGGTTTGCAGCACCACGTGAGGCTCCCGAAAGCAACCATGAGCGCGGCGTCTTGCGTGCAGAATAGATGCCTCATCTGAACTAAATTATTGCAATTCTTGGAAAAGGTTTTTAAAAATCCAAAACTCTAATTACGTATGTTATATATCTCTATGCACAAGCATATAACAAAACATACTACTGCTGTTAAAGGTTCTACATCAACTTCCACAAAGGCAGCCCAAATATCCAAATATTCATCCATCTGTAAATTACGCCTAAAGGCCACCCATTCAAAAATGAAATGCTTCATTAAATCCTCCACTCATTGCGTTATTGCAGGTACCCATTTGTCGCTCCAGAAACGTAATGGAGGTTTTTAGCTGTCAAAAGGGCATAGAAAACCATTTACATTTGATCTTGCATTCAGTTCTAAGAGATGGGTAGGTAGTTCAAAAGGACTTGGGCACTTTAAATATTAAAGGACTTTCTGTCTCAAGATTTATCCTAATTATTACCTCCTCCAAAAAGGAAGCTGCATTGGGCATTGCCAAAAGGTATGAAGAAAAGACCTATTAGCAGCACTGCACCTCCAACAATTGGCCAATTTAATTAAGCCCTTATATCAAAGGCATTGCCAACAACTTCCTCCAACAGAAGGCAGAGGAAGGAATGAAAGGGTCAGCTCTCCTCGATTTAATTCTAACAGGGATGGCCTGGTGGACAAAATAGCAGCCATGGGAACTCAGGCGGGGGGCGGGGGGGGGGGGAGTGACCAAGCAATACTTGATTCCTCAAGTATAAAAGAGACAAAGGTTAACTGCAGCCAAAAAGGTACCCTGGAAATCCAACTTTAAGGAAATGAGAACACTGATAAATGAGGTGCCATGATAACCCACTCTTAAAGGAAAAGGAGTTCAAGAGGGGTGGGAAATCTTGAAAAAGAAGATTTTCCAAGCACTACTACGAACAATTCCAACAAGAAAACCATTTAGAAGACAACAGAGGAAGCCCGTGTGGCTCCACAAAAAGTTAAGTGACAACCTGAAAGGAAAAAAGAACATGTACAGGAGGCGGAAGCAGGGCCAGGCCACGAAGGAAGAACAGAAACAAAGAGCAAGGGATTGCAGGGACGGCATCAGGACGGCTAAAGCGGGAAATGCGCTGAGAAGAGCAAGGGATGCTCAGAACAACACGGAGGCCTTCTTCAGATACATCCAGAGCAAAAGACATGAGGAAGGGAAAGGTGTCCAGCTACTTAAAGGCACATGGCACGGGAGGGGACTAAACCCCCTGCTGCCCCTTATGGGAACTTGACTGCTTGATACCTGGTGAAAGTCCTCCATGAACTTGAGGTGGCTCTCCTCACAGATGAGCAGGTTGAGATACTCCTTCCAGTCGGCATGGACAGCTTCAATGTGTGCCTGCAGCCGAGGGAAAGGGCGCCCCCGTGAGGCACGGGGCTCGCGGAGCAAGGTGCCCCGGGCACGGGACCAGCTGCAGGGAGCACGACTCCATTTCCGGAGCGACCCTTCCCTGATGGGGCCCCTTTCCAGCAAACTCACCTCGATGGGGATCCTGCCTGGATGGTTTCCAGACAACAGCTTATTCCCATCTTCGTGCAGCTTGTTGATGGCTGCCTCTTTCTCTTCTAACTTCCGATTTATGAAATTCTAAACACAAGGAAGCACAGCCATGAGGAGAGAGTTCAAGCCCCCAGGGGGTCTTTGGTCAGGGGGTCAGGTGCTTACACAACAAAGGCAGTCGAAGGCAAGCGCTTGGGGGATCTGCGTGATCAGGCTTTGGCTCCGCATTCAGCCAGAAAGCGCACTGGGTGACTTTGGGCCATTCACTCACTCTCAGGCCAGCCTTCCCCACAGGGTGGTTGTTGTGAGGATGAAAACGGAGTGAATGAGACTATGCCAGCTGTCCTGGGTTCCCCACAAGAGGAAACAAAGCAAGGAAGCAGCTGGAGTAAAACTGAGGAGTTGAGCCTTCATGCACTTTTCTACAAATTATCCAATTTTAGCTTCTTTCCAGGACTATTTAAACCAGTTTATCCAGTCTGACAAAAGATCGTGGCTACTTTCTGCCTATGACTGACCTTGTAAGAACGAAACTTTGCAGTCCTGGGGCTTGGGTGCTTCCTCCCCTTTCCTCCTTTGCTGCTGTGAGGAAGAGACTGGAACCTTCTGCTCCCCTTCTTAAGTGAAGTTTAGTGCTCAGTCCAAAGGCAGACAAACTGTGGTTCATTTTAACTATTGGTTTACTGAAACAGGCCAACTTTAAATCTTGGTTTTGGAAGCTGCTTACTCCAATAGGTTAAGACGAACCACAGTTTAGGGTTTGGACACAAAACTAATTAAAAATGGGAAAGAAACTTTCCACTTTTGTACTCATGGCCATAAACCAGTTTGTTGTACATATCTGAACACAACCACTAGCAGGAGAAAGAAAGCCAGCTGCCAGATTGATGGCTCTTTAATACCACTAGAGATGGAAAATCAGTGTTTTTTCAATCTTTGTCAGTTTTGCAGGTACTCACCAATAAACTCATTCCATTGCTTTTGGGAATTAACACCAGATTATTTTTAAAAACCTATATGAACATTTCATTTCAATATGTGCTTAAATATTAAAAAAACCTGTCAAAATGCATACTTCCAAATGCACTTTTTATCACAAGATGCATTCCCAAATGTATCTGGATATAGTTACCCTGAAGAGAACGATATTGCAATGTTTGGGAAACTGCAAAATAATGAACAATTATTTCTATTCTATGGTGGAAAATCAATATTCAATATGCACCATAATCTAAGAACTGCATATCAGATCTATTTCCTCTCAACGTCACTGTGTGGAGTCGCATCGACACCCTGCTACGGGGATGCGCTCCTGGGAGGAAGCGTACCTCGTACTGCCGCCGCCTGCTGGGGTAGTCAAGGTTACGGTCACTCCAGTCGTACTGCATCCTGTCCTTGGCCTGCTGGTCGAGCCAGTAGAGTTTGTTGGTGCAGCGCTGCATGTAATCCTGCAGCGAGTTCAGGTCCTGCTGCCTCTGCTGGGAGCCTGACTGCAAGCAGAAATGAGTCAGACCTTAGCAACCGGGAGGTGGGAAAGGGCCGCTGCAGAGGGCTCCTGGGAAGAGACGCTCCTGACCACTCCTGCTTCCTTGTGTCAGGATTGCAGACCACGGCCGGCTCTTGACCCACTGCAGGAAGCCGTCCCATCTAATTTCAGCCTGCAGTGACTTGCAATGAGCCCAGTGCCAGGGATGCAGGAGCCTTTTCTCCTCTGCAGTAGCCCATCCACATTTTGCCTCATGGGCCCCAATCCACCTCCGCCTCCCACATGCTGTCTCAGCGAGGAAGCAGGCGCAGAAAGGAAGCATCTCCGAGCTTCTTGGTTGTACTGAAGCTAGATCCTCGTCTTCACAGGCTTGTGGCGGGGGGAGGGGGGGCGGATTCTTACCAGCAGCTTCTGGTATTTCACCTGCAGCCCACTCATATATTCCTGGAGACAAATGAAAAGAATATTAAAAGCATAAAAACGCTGCCGTACAGACATCCGCTGCACAACTGCTGCGGCGAAGGCACTTTTGGCACGCACACTGCTGCTTCCCTCCACAAACACGGGGCACCTTCCCGGGCCATCCAGGATTCCCAGGCAGGTGTGCCAGTGTTCAGGGCGAAGAGTCCGCAAGATGCCCGCTCCTCCGTTGTTGCATTAGTGCGGCTCACAGGTGCTCCCCCCATTCCCCCTCCAAGAAGGCAGAGTTGCTCCCCTTGTACGCCACTCTCTTCGCAGGCGCCCGCGAAATCGGCCAGGCCATGGGATGGCGCTTGGCCCAAAGGCGCCTGCAGGCAAGCGGCAGGTCCAGGCTGTGGCCTGCAAGCCGTAGCCGGACACGCTCACCACTGCCCCATGTCGTTCTGGTGCATTTTAGGCGCCCCCTGCAGGGGATCCCAAGAGAGAACGAGCCAAAGGGGTGTTTTGCTGGGCGAAGTGCAGGACTCTAGGTGAGCCTCAGAGACGGAAGTAGAGGATTTGGGGGAGACAGCAGAAGCCCGTATACCAGGTCTGGCTGAGTGTGTCTGAGCAGCTCTGCAAAACCATGGATCAGAGACTCCTGTGCCTTTAATGGGCACGCGGCAGGCAGAAATCTAACAGGTACATACTGCCGCCACCCCCCCCCCATCACAGGAGCCCCCAAGGTGGAAAGCTGCTCATGCTGAATTTCTCCGGTCACTCGTTAAATGCACAAAGGGAGAAAAGGCGGGCAGACTTCAGTCTTGTGGGATCGCCTTTCTTTTCTTACTAGAAGGCCCAAGGATTGCCAGCCAGAGCCAGGTACAAAACATTTGGCTGTGGGAATCGGAGCTGGAGCTAAAGAAAAGGATGCCTCACATTTGTTTTCCGTACCCGAACCAAGTTCACAGACGTCACATAAACTTCCATGCTGGGCTTCCCCTTCCAGCTTCCAGAGGCTGACCAGCCAATCCTGGTCTCCTTTCTGCCCGCCTCGGGATTAAATGATCACCCTGCTCCCCTCCCTCTCCCCAGCAGAAGTTAAAAGCCGGTGGTACCTTGTCGCCTTCCTTGCTGATATGCGGTCCAATAGCCATCACCTCATTATGGAAGATGTTGTGCTCTTCCACCTGAGCGTTGACGGATGGCAGGTCCGTCCCAAAGCCCTTGCTGCTCAGTATTTCCTGGTGACAGAGGAAAGGTGGCGAGTGCAGCATCCCTAGGACAAGCCCAGCGCCCAGAGACAGGGGAACGTGGCTCGTGCCAGGCCGGGGCACTAGCCCACCCAGGCCAGTCTTATCCACTCTGTGTCAGGGATGGGGAGGAATTTGTTCAGTCTGCATTGTAAGGTGCATTTACCGAAATTTGCACTTTCAGACCAATTATCCTTTGAAATCTATACTTCTCAGGTTTGCAGTAGAATTCCCAAATCAAAAAATACTTTTATTTATTATATTTAATAGATTATTATATACCTACAATTATACTTTATTTATTCTATCTATATAATAAGTATATTCCTTTTCCTTCAAGGAATTCAAAGTAACTTGCATAATCCTCCTCTGAATCTTACCCTCACAACAACCTTGTGAGGTAGGTCAGGCTGAGAGTCCACTCATGGGACAATATGTTCAAAATACTTTATAGGACAATTGCTTGCAAAAACTATGTCTATGAAGGAAAGGGCATATAAATGCAGATATTAGGAGAAATGTGCACAAAATTGCTTATGAATTTTCAATCGAACTTAAATTACCTTGTTCTAAATGCAAGGTTAGAAAAATAAGGAACTGAGAGAAACCAAATCTGACCCTTTTCTGCACTGGTCGCCAGCAGCTCTGGAGGAAGATGGCAGAAAGTGGCCGGGGCTGGGGGGCAGTGGCAGGAACCAGCCGAGGAGGGGGCAATTTTCAGAAGAAAAGCAGGGTCCTGATCTGGTTGGGGCACACATTCCAGACCAGAGGCCCAGGGCTACGTGGATTTCCTGCAAAACGGAAGTGACGGATGAAGCACGCTTGTCTCGAACGTGTGGCTGTTGCCGAAGATCATCTGGCCACGAATACCATCCACCATGCGGAGGCGCCAGGGCAGCTCCTGGAGGGCGGCCCAGGGGGACATGCAAAGCGAGCAGGGCTTCCGTGATACAGAGCCGCTCGTGGAGCCAGTGCTGGGCGGGGGGTGATCTCCAGCCAGCAGGCAGGGAGGATTTGGGGGATTTGAAACGGGAAGCGGACAAAGCCACTGCGAGAGGAGCACACTCAGAGCGGGGAGAGAGACCCCGTGGCTGCCCCGCTGCCCGTCTCTCTCCATGAGCGATGAGTGGAGGAGCACCGCAGGCACCTCACGGGGGGGCTCCACTCCTTCAGTGATGCCGAGCGGTTCGGTGTGAGCTCTGAGGGACACGAGTCACGACGGGAATGGTGTGCATGCAGCTCACACGCTCATTTCAGAGAGAGGCTGTGGGGGTGGGGGGAGCGAGCTGGATCTAGCCACCCCGCAAACAGAAAGCTAGCACCACCAGGGGAAATGCCCAAGCCCGTTTCTGAACGAAAAGGGGTGCCAAAAGGAAGGCAGAGCTGGCGCTTCTAATGCAGGAACCTACTTGCTTCTCTTCGATCACGGTGGCCCAGTTGACTTGTGGCTCAATTTCCTGCAGGGTGAAGTTGTAGATCTGGTCATGCTTCACACGCAGGTTGCCCACGCGCTCCTTCAGCTGCCGGATGCTGAGGGAGGGAGGGAGTGAGAAATAAAGGAAGGAAAGAAGGACGGCAGTAAGGGGGGGAACAGAGAGATGCTTGGTTCATTTGAACAACAGGTGGACAAGGGACCTCCACCTGACAGTCCTTGTATTGGGCAGGCCAGCCAGCTTTAAGCTTGTGCAGGTCAGGGGGAGATCCCTTCACCTCCCCCCCCCCCCCCCCGACACTCCACTGCAATACTCTTGGTACTCTTGGTGCCTGGTGCTATTTATAAATTTCAGGTTTTTTCCACCCAATGGCAGAGGCTCTCTGGGCAGTGAACAAAAGTTAACAAAACAACAGAAACAACAAAAAATGAACTTAAACAGTAAAACCACAACCATTACAACTGAATCAGCATAGAGCTATAGCAGTGCTACAGGATAAAATGCAACATGAAAACTAACATGGAAAAGTTAAACTGTTAAAACTCTGGGAAAATAGAAAGGTTTTCACCAGGTGCTGGAAAGAATGCAGAGTATCTGGGGGGCTGCCGGCTGGCACCAAGTAACCCAATGGAGAAGAGCACCCACTAAAGCGAACATTGCCCGGTTCCCCCCGGTGAGGGCTGGCTTGGCCCTGATAACAACGAACATGGGCTTAATGAAGAGCCAGAATGAGCAAACAAGTCTTTCCAGTGCCTCAAGACTGCTGCCTTTTCAGCAAGAAACGGACAGAGCTACACCTCTGGGATATGTCATGGTATTCCATGTGTTGAACGAGGCCTTTTTCGTATTACAAGTGCACCCTTGCTGGAGAAAGAGTGCGCTTTAAAATGTGTGTGGACATGCATGGGTGCTTGAGGAATCTGGTCTCTAAACATCCCAGGTTCAGCTGGCCTGATCCACACGACTTGAGCTCAGGTGTGGGTGAAAATGTGGTTATCCGTTTCCTTTTGCATCTCCCAAATGCTCGGATACATTCCCTGGCTCAAGAAACATCAAAATGCATCCAGAATGTGCTGTGTGGGGGGGGGGGAATAAAAGAAAACGAGAAGAGCATTCGGAGAGAAGATGTGTCTGCAAAGACGTAGCAACATTCAGAGGAGGAGCAGCATTCCACAAAAACAACAAAATGTCTTGCGGCATCTGAAGGATGACCAAACGCCAGAATACGTTTGTTAGTTTTAAAGGCCCCAGAAAAGCCCTTTGTTATATTTAAAGGTGATTTTTGGATGGCAGACTAAAGTAAATACAGTGCAAAGGCAACTGAGGGGCACATGCAGAAGTAACACAGGCTGGAAACAGGCAGACCTGCCCGCCCCTCGGAAAGAGTTTCAGGCCAAGCCCAGGCCCGGGGGAACTCACTCTTCGGTGATCATGTCCCCCTGCGGGTGTTTCATGTGTCGAGCGATGGCCGCGTCCCCATCCAGGACGTACAGGAGCTTATCAGACTCTATCAGCTTGTCCGCCGTGTAGTCCTTGTACTGGGCAGGCTGGCCAGCCTTGAGCTTGTGCAGGTCCTGGGGTGGGGCGATAGCAGAATGGCAGGAGGGTTACAAAACGGCGGACTCAGAGAGGGCAAACGCCACTGCCTGTGCCCTTGTTCTAAGGCCTAAACCTACAGCAGAACATTGATCGCGGCAGGCAGGGCGCTCGAGTGGACCTGACTCCCTTCTGGTTTTATCCTTAACTTTAGGATGATCCAGTTTAAAAGCTGCATTCAAATAAGGGAGGAATCAGTAGAACAGCTGAACCTGAGGTACTCCTGAAAAATAGGAGCTGTTCCCAGGTTGGAAAACAGGAATCAAAGACACTTTTACCATGCAGCCATCTTGACCCAAACACAGAATTTAAGCGAGGGACCCAAACATTGCCTGCTATTTAGAACCCTTCCATATTTTCCAACAGCTTCTCCCATGTTTTTTCTTGCTGGAGAAAGCCTGCCAAGGGTGCAGAGCGACACCTGTTCAGGCAATAAAAAGGCCTCCAACTCCTAGCACTGCCCCAGCCGCCTGGGAAAACTGCTTGTGGATGGTAACTGGCACCATGCCTCAGCCTCGGAGCCAAACTGCCTATGGGTTCCCACAGGAAAGTCTGGTTTATACATGTTTTAAGAATAGCCCATTAGAGAGTTCCTGAGCTGTATGACAGAAATGATAAACCCCACGGTTCCTTGGGGGCAGGTAGCTAATCCAGGACAGCCTGACTGTTACATATTATATCTTCCAATCATCAGCAAACTCTGTGTGTGCGTGTTCCCCACAGCAGCCGATCACGCAAGGCATGATCAAAACACGGCATGCATACTACGGGGATGCTGCTGGCGTGCTTCCCCGTAACGGCCTAAGACCGATTCCAGCCCCAGGTAGCCCAGTCTGCTCACTTGCCGCTAAAATGTAGCCATTTCAAACTGCATTTGCATGCAAAAGCAGCTGAAACCAGGTCTGTTCTGCTTCAGCAAGCTAGCAGCGTCAGGTACCTTCAGGCCAGGCCCAAGGCACTGCATCTGTAGAGAACGGAAAGAGCGCAAACCGTATTTCCAAAGGGGAACTGACAAGAGCCCCAGGGAAGGCCAGCGCTCGCTCCAGGTTCTCTCACGGCTGCAGCAAGGTGGGCTGGGGACATGCAACTCTTCGTTCTAGATGTTGTGGTTCGAGTGCTGGGCTGGGGCCTGGGAGACCAGCCCTGCTGAGCCTCATGGCTCACTGGATGCCCTCGGGCCAGCTGTGCTCTCGGAACAGCCTACTTCACAGGGTTGTTGTGAAGATAAATCAGGAAGAGAGAGAGAAGCATATACAACACCCTGAGCTCTTTGGGTGGGGGTGGGGGGGGGTTGGGGCAAGTATAAATGCAATAAAATACACCTGAGCTCCAGCATCTTCATACATTCCAGAATTTAAATAATTAGGCTCAACCTTAAAATATTTGAAAGGGAAAAGAATGTCTTGAAGCATGAACAGACTGCCTTTCCTTCTTCTGTGAAGAACTACAGTGAGCTCACAACCTATGACTTCCAGGTGCACATGAATCCTGCTGCATTTCCTTAAAAATTAACCAGTGTTTAAGCACCATACCAGGTGCTCCAAAAACTCACATTTTGCATCTTTGTGTCCGCTTCCACAATGTTTTTCTCCACCTGGTCAGCATTTTTCTGTAACTTCTCGATCAGTTCTGACAACTCCTTGCTGGAAATGCTGTGGGAAGAGAGGAAGTGGAGGTTTAAAGAAGGGGAAAACAGGGGAGCTTGATCAGAACTGAAGCTTGCCTGGGCTTGGTCCCAAAATCTGGAAAACGGGAAGCGGCCATAACAATGTTCTGCTGAGCATATGCAAAGTCTCTTTCCTTCACCCAAGAGTACCTATAGTTTGTCTGCCCGACACTGGGACTCAAAGGAGGGAGGAATTTCGAGAAGCAAAATTATCGACATATGTTGAGTCTCCAACAACTTACCAAAGCAAGAGGGAAAGATGTCTTTGGCCTAGCCAACATAGCCAAGGTGAAAGCTGCCACACACTTTGAGCAATAGAAAAATGCCCTGGGCAGGTTACGAACCATCCGCCCCAGTTAACCCATCAGTAAACTGAAAATATCAAACTCCTGTCTCGTCGTTTAGTGGGTTCCCCCTCACCCTGGCAAATACAAACATTTTAAAGCACCGCATTCACAAGAAGCACTCCTTTAATTTACAAAACACTCTTGAAATCTCTCTGTTTATCCAAACAACCACCCAGTCTGTTGGTCACTGTAACTGCAGACGTTACTGTTGGGTTTGGAAGCGACTCACCCAAGGCCAAAGCAGAACACATGGCAGAGTTCAGATGCCAACTTTTCAAAAAACTGGTCCCTCTCCTAGGCCTTCAAACAACCTCAAATACATCAGGAGGTGAAGCCTTTCTTGGCTGCAAGTCCCCTCTTTTCACAGAGGGAAAGTTTTCATTTTTCCATGTCAGGCTGCTGTGGAAGGCACACGACCAGCCCGAGGTGTGACAAAGAAGTTAGTGGCAATGACCCTGAACGAGGGCCTGTGTAAGTGGGAATCCTTTTGCTGGCCTGCAGTTGAGCCAGCCGTAGCAGATGGTGTACCAGGTAAGGCTCCTGGCCACCAGGGAGCGAGTTGCTATGGTCAATCGATTGCCAAGCAGCACTGCTCGCTCGCCACCCTGGGCTGCTGAGGGCCATGGAAGGGGGACATCCTTCCATTACTGGAGGCGAGGCTTTGATCTGGTTTCACACTGAGAGGGAGAGATGGATTTCTGAGGCAAATCCAAGAAGAGCCCAAGGAGGCAACAAGCCACAAAAACTGGCTGCTAAGGAGGAAGGCCTCGCAAAGAAACTTGGCCTGGAGGGTTCTCAAGGTTTTTGCTAATGGGTCCCCACTGAGACAGCTGAAAACAACCAAGGTGCTCAGAAGTACCCTTTGTGGGGAATATTCCTGGAGCTCCCTGAAAATGGCAAAGTCCGCTGTCACACAGATTTCTTTGTCACAGGGAGGTCCACAGTTCAGCTTTCTTCAAGGGACGTGCAGGCACGGCCTCTAGAGATATCCTTGCGTCACTTCCTACTTTAGGCAGAATTTGTTGACCAGACAAGCAGACAAGGCTTCCATGTTTTACTGTTCTCCTCCTCTCCTCAGGGCCCATCCTTCCCAAGTCATCAAGAGTCCTTTCTCCTCCCTGTCTCCTTTCACACTTAACACGTACACACACCCCATTGCTAGCTGCTTTACATTCATTTCCTCCCGTAACATCCACCCTCTTCTCTCCTTCCCCCGCCTTTGCAGCTTTTTAATAACATGAAATTAAGTAAAGCATTAAAATATGACCCTTCTTTCTGTCCACCAGACCTGTCAACACAGCATGCCAGCGTGGACTCGAGGTCCTGGAAGGCCCTTGGGCAGGACAGCCCCCCCCCCCCCGCCCCGATGAGTCCCGCCACCAAGGAGAAGCCATTTCAGGCCCACTGCTGGACTGCAGATCCTTGGCAGGGACCCAAGCACACTTGCCCTTGACACAGTGTGGCCCTGGCATTGAGGGGGGGACCAAGTGAAGAAGTCATGGGCTGCCTGCACACTGAGACCCACCCGAACATGGGGCGAGTGCCATGGCATGTCCAGCTCCACAGGCCCAGAAATGCGGCTTTTGTCCTTTGCCTTCAGGGTGCCCCTGAAGGGGACAGCTGTGCCTAAGCTTACGACTGATCCCACGGCAGCATCGCAGCTCAGGCTCCCTTCAGAGCATTTCATTCCCTGGTTATTCCCAGCCTTTTCCATCCTCACCCAATGGTTCCCAGTTATTTGGTACATTTCTGAGCCAGCTTTTAAGGTGACGGTACTCCCAGGAGGGCCCAGACACCAAAATAAATGAGAAAAAACACCTTAAATGTAAACTGCTTTAAAAGAGGCAATTCCACTCTTTCCCAGTACTAAAATACCATAAAACTTTTTACGATTGAAGCCAGAGGCAATATCTCTCTTATATAAGCACTCTTAAAAGCAGCTTGCACAACGATGATGATGATGGAGAGAACCTCTGAAAAGGAAGGAAGAAGGAAATCTAAGAAGAAAATCCAAGCCTTCCATCTGCAAACTATTATTATGTTGCTCTGTATTCTGCCTTTGTTCTTCCTGTGACGAATCCAAAGTGGCTTTCACAGCACCATTTTATCCTCACAACAACCACCTGTGAAGTAGGCTATGCTGAGAGTGAGTGACGGTTCCAAAGCTGCCCAGGGAGCCGCATGGCAGAATGGGGACAGGCACCCAGATCGCCTGAGTTTCAGTTTTTGGTAAGGTTAGAGGACTATTTCCAAAATGTCTGGTAGCCAAAGCACATGTTTGCCTGAAAGTGAAAGTTAGAAATGGCCCCCTGGATAAGCTGCCCTGCTTTGAGCACATCATGGGAAAGCGAGACTCCTGGGGAAGGCCGTCGTGCTGGGGAGAGTTGAAGGAAGGCAAAGAAATGGACCAAGCCAGAGATGGGCGGACTCCAGAAGGGAAGCCACAGCCGGGGCCTTAGGAGAGCTGGGCAGGATGTCACGGAGAGGCCACTGAGGGGGACTTCCACCCAGAGTCACCGCAGGCCAAAGGTGACTGGACAGCGCGTGACAGCGACAAGAGAAGCCGCCGGGCCGAGCACTCTGAGACGCGGCGGGCAGCCTCCTCTGTGGCCGGCTGGGCCCGCGGACTCTTCACAGTTCACTTCACCTGTTGCTTCTCCACTGCAGATGCTTTGGGACTTGCTAGTGCCGTGACGAAAAGCTCAGAAGAGGCACCCGGCAGAGTCTTCCCCGCGTGTCCTGTGCCTCCCCTCCTGAACCCTGGTCTTCTGCCTGCCACCAAAGCATCCTCTTGGAGGGTGATTCACAGCAGCCCCGCCGGAGGGAAAGGAAAGGAAACGGGAGCAGCGGAACATTCATTCAGACGGGAACAGCCAGGGAGGCCAAACAAGGAAAAGTGGAATGACAGGCTCTTTCTCTGGCAGGTGACCAGTGCCAGCAACATGCCCAGGCTGGTGGAAACTGGAGCACTTGCGTACATGACCCGGGCTTCCTACTCAGAGAGCATTTTCCTAAATCGGAGTGCAGAGCCTCTTCTGGCTCAGCACTGGATTCCATTTTGGAGCAGGTCCTGGGGGGTGGGCCCATCGCAGCGCCAGCCAAAGCAAAAGGGGCAAGTCCCTGACTGTCAGTCTATTTCGACTCGGAGCTCTCGGTGCATGTGACGACCTCTCAGGAGAGGCTCCTGCCCTATTCTGAATCGGGGGCTGGTCCCTCCGGCTCCACAGCTCTGGCTTCCCCAGCGGGGGTCCTTTGCAGCCTGCCTGGAGATGCCTGGAGGCAAACTGGGGGCCTCCAGCAGACACAGGATGTGCCCCCCCCCACACAAACAAGTATGGTCTGTCCAGAACATGTAAGGTACAGGCTTGAGTGTCAATTACCGGGTGACAGCTTTCGTGTTGTATATAAACCCTGTTGTGTAATGTTGTGATATCAACTCCACTCTCTTAGGCAGGGTTGTTTTGGATGTATCTGAAAGGAATGCATTCGCAATGCTGTAATCTATTTGCCCATTCCAAAGGCTACAATCTTTTGTTGTTGTTGTTGCCACAATACTTCATTTTAATTATTGTTTATATTCTACTTAGGAAAATGGGCATTCAGTTTTAGTAGAGGAATGTATTGCATGAGCCACAACAGAACATAATTTGTATGTAGGGTTTTCCTGCTGGCAGCTGATCAGGGGGCTGGGAATTTATTTTGTTTTGCTTATGATTAGGGGTGCTTCCTGCTGGATCCAGACCATGCCTCAAGAAGAATCGGGATTCTGGCACTGGAGGAGAGGGATGCACATGGGAAATCATGCCAGACACTCCTTTGAGTCACCTGGATATTTCTTTACGTAAAATCACATGACAAGTTTCAGCTGCAACAGACTGTCATGTTCTGCTGGGCAGGCAGGAATCCCAACTTCAGCCAGCCATGTTCTTCCACAGGATGCTCCATTCCACTCGCCCTCTAACCTGGTCTTCCACAGTCCCTCCCTCATTTATTGGGCCTTTTTTATTGGCCTGGGCCTTTGAAGGGAGGCTCTCCCATTGGGATTACTGCATTTCAACACATCTTAGGATTCCTCCAAGCTTTCCAGGATTTCTCCTCCGGGATGCAGATGATGCTGTGTGAGCGACATAAAGGTTGCCCTCAGAGAACTTCATTTGTTGTTCATTTGCGGTGTGGCATAATCTATTGGTGGTGTCAAGGTTAATTGCTTTAATCTTTCTGTATCAAGATGCATTATACACTTATCCAGGATAAAAGAAATGTAGCTAAGCACCAAGAACTGCAGGCTGACATGATCCTAGTTAGATCTCCCTTTAAGCACAGATTCTTTCGTCAGGACGGAGCAAGCCACTCCCATGGCTGAGATAAGAGGATAAGTGCTTTACAAGGTCACTAAGGGGATGCCTGTGTGAACTGCCTGAACATTAAAAAGGATATAAATACCAGGGATTATCATTCTTTCTAACATCTTGTTTTGTTTAGTCCTGAAGTCACATCCGATCCATGGACAACATTGCTCCCAGCTCTCCTGTCCTCCACCATCCCCCGGAGTCCACCCAACCCCATACCCACCACCCCAGTGACCCCATCCAGCCACCTCATCCTCTGCCGTCCCCTTCCCCTTTTGCCACCAATTGTT